ATGCTATTTTCCTAGATTTAAAAATTGAACATTATAATAAAGATGTGAATCTTCTTAATTTATAGTTCTAGTGTAATTCTAATCAAAATCATGTCACATTATGACAGAGTTTCTAAAATTGACCTGGAAGAATAAACTGAAGAGAGTAGCCAAGATAATTTTGTAAAAAGACTTTCTCTACTAAGCATCACAATGTTCTACAGAGCATACAATTATCACAAAAGTACGCTACTGGTGTTGGATGTGAAATGCAAATCTGGAATTGTTGTAAATGATTCAACACATGAAAAGACAGCATTGGAAGTGGTGGGGAAAGGTGGAGACTATTTAATAGTAGGAGGAAAACTGGTCAACTATTTGGACACAAATGTTGGGTCTTCACCTTGTACTTCTCACTAAAATAAGTTCCAGGTAGATTAAAAAGTCAGATATGAAATAAGCAAACTATAAGATCCCTTCATAGCACTTCTCATTCTCTGACGTATTTGTTTGTTGACTCTTCTCTCTTTGCTAGACAGTATGCTTGGAAGAAGCCGAGGCCTTTCCTTGCTGCCTACGTTATCTATCCTTAGCACCTAGAACGATCTGACACATAGGAAGCATTTAATAAATGTTAGTCAAATGAATGAATAAAAACAATGAAAGAAGGCACAAGGGAGAAAGTTCCCTTTTAAACTGAACATAGGTAACAAACAAACAAAAAAAAGGAAATTCCAAAAAACCATCCAGGAATAGTTTTGCCCAAATTTCATACATCAATACTATTGCTACTTTCAAGATCCACATACATAAAATTTTGCTTTTTTTCCCTTGTTTTGTTTTTTTAAATGAATGTTGATCAGATGCATTGGAGAGAATGGGGGGTCGGGGGGAGAAACATAGTTTATTTTTACACTTTCCTAAAATCGGTATTCAGAAGTTTTATATTATTGTCACACTCTTCTCAGCATGCCATTCTATCCCACCCAAATCTGCCATGTCCATTTTGTCCTCTTTCTCTTGATAGAATGATGTTGCATTTTTCAGATTTGGGTGGACATCCTGTTGTACCCACTTCTTTCTTGCCCCCGGTTTGACCTAATCTCTTCACCTATGCATTAAAACCCTGCAGGGTTCTGAGCACAGACAGCATGAAACACACATCTAGTCTCTGAGAGGGCTTCTTTGCATGATGCTATAAAGCACTTCCAAAAGTGCTCTTAAGCATGGGGCTTAAAAATATTGCAATCGAACATGTCATTTCTTTTGGTCCCTAAACTTTGATTGGAGAGGAGGAGGAAACAAAATTTGACCTACCGAGGGTGGGATCATATTCCCAGATGAACCGTTTGGTCAGAAATCTCACTACAAGAGCTGTGGAAGAAAAGAGCAACATTTCAAATAAATTCGTTAATTTGCTTAGCGTTCTTATCCTTTTAAGGAAAGAAAAATGAACCATAAAACCT